GGAGTCTGCTTCTCCCTCTGACCCTCCTCCCTCTCATGCTCTCTGTCTCTCATTCTCTCTCAAATAAATAAATAAAATCTTTAAAAAAAAAAGAAACACATAAGAATGTTTATAGTATTGTTTCAGAGTTAAAAACTGAAACCAAATCTATGATCCATCCACAGGAGAATGGATAAATTTTCTCTATTCACACAATGAACATTATAGAGTTGTGGAAGTGAATAAGCTGTTGCTATAAGCAACAACGTAGCAAAATCATAGAAATTGATAGAAGTCAGTTGCAGAAGACTGTATATAGTATCTTTTTATTTTTATTTTTTTTAGAGAGAGTGCAAGCAGGGGAGGGACAGAGAGGGAGAGAGAGAGAGAATCCTAAGCAGACTCCACGCTCAGCATGGAGGCACCAGTGTGGCGCTTGATCTCACAACCCTGAGATCAAACCTGAGACAAAATCAAGAGTTGGATGCTCAATCAACTGAGCCACCCAGGTGCCTGTAGTATATCATTCTTACAAAGCTCTGAAATAAGCAAACTCAACTGGTACATATAAAACTATTTTTTTAAACAGCAAAACAAAAATAAACAAAATTCAGGATTGTGGTTACCTCTGGCAGAGAGGCAGGAAGAAGTGATAGGAAAGGCACACACAGCTATTCACTTGGTTATGCTTCATAACATAAGTTGTGTGTATTAAATATTAAAATATAACATAAGGAAGTGGTCTTGAAGGGCAGTGGAACCTGGTTCGTGACCCATCACTAAGTTAGGGCTAGAGGAACAGGGCTGAAAGTTATAGTTTCCTCTAATAATAATAGCTAACATTTGTTATGTACTGGGGGAAGGAGAAGGCAGAGGTGGAAGAAGCTATTCCCAAATACCCCTCAGCAAGCTCCTGTTCTGCATTACCAGAAATAAGAGTGGAGGTCATGGGGGCTTCTAGGAATCATTCACTTGTTCAGTACACATTTACCGAGGCCCTTGCTACCAAGTCTTATGTGCTGAGACTCTGGGAAGAAAGTAAGACACACTCCTCCCTCAAGGCAGTGGGAGTTTATTTGGAGATAGATGGAGGAACAGGTAATTACAAGAAGTTGTGATATGTGCAGTGATAGAGAAATACCCAGTCCAGTGGAAGTGAATTAGTGACATGAAGGGTAGTAGGTATTTTCTGAGGAATATAAGGATGTTTCAAAAGAAGAGAAGCTCATGTAATGCACATTTGCAGATTTTAAAGAAGAGAAAAAAATGAGAATATAACCAAATAACAAAAAACATTTCATAAAATTCAAGTCATTCATGATAAAAGCTAGGAATAAAAGGAAAGTTCTTTTTTTTTTTTTTTTTTAAAGATTTTATTTATTTGAGAGAGAGAATGAGATAGAGCATGAGAGGGGGGAGGGTCAGAGGGAGAACAGACTCCCCGCCGAG